ACCTCAACAATATTTGGTCCTTATCACTTTGTTTCCTCGTTATGCTTTTCCCTCATTTTTTCATAGGAGATGCTTCTACATAACTGTAAAATAAAGGGATGACATGTAATTCAATATCACTCCTAGTACCTTCTGGGAGATGGTCGGTAAATTTTATGAGTTCCACTAATATCTTCTCTTTATCATCCTTACTGCTTTGCAAAGCAAAATTAAAACCTTGTAAAAGAACTTCTCCAGTGGTAACGACCAGTGCTGTTTTGGACAGGTTCACCACCTTCTCACCTAATGACTACCCTTAAAGTATTTTAATTACCCTTTATCTTGATTCTCATACTCAAGTTCCTAAGCTTCTTACCATTTTTGCATCTATCATACAGATCGTCTGCCATTATTTGTTATTTAGAGAAATTCGCATAGCTAAAAGTGTCAGCCAACGATCGAAGTAATTTGATTTTCCTCCTTTCAAAGAGTGTAATTTTATAATTTTTTCTTTAATCGTAATATTAAATTAATTATGGGATGCGCTCTGAAGGACTCGCTTAGTTCCATCAGAAAAATATGGTTGATCAGTAATAATATAAAATTTAGGAACAACCCCACGTGATGAACATAATTTCAGTAAACATCTAGGGAAAGCATATGATATTTAAGCATATAATTAAGTGGACAAAGTTAGGCTATAAGAAGAAGGTAAGATTTCAGCCAGCCCCTTTTCTTGCCTACGTATATTGATGAAGTCTCATATAATCGATTTATTCGTAGCACCGACACTACTTATAAACTAAAATAAGTAGTGTATTCGACAATCCCACCAAAGAATGTGATATGTAAAGCCGCTTGACCATCCTATAAATTCGCATCTGCCTTGTGACCTACGGTCACTCATGGCAATAGGGTGTAGTGGTTAACGTGTTGGGACTACACGCTACACTGTCATTTTTGGACTTCCGTTGGGAATGTTGATAAGACCTATTCGGGTTCAAAACTGCAGTCCACTCTGGATGAAAAAAACTTCTAGGAGAGCAAGGCTATGTGAAATTCAATGAGGGCCTTAGATCTACTCACATCCTTGTGGGAACTTTAAACTACCATTCCTTGATTACCTTAAACGAAATAGGGTGAATACCTCTCATATAAGTCTCATAAGACATGGTGTCCTCATGCGATGATGTCCGTCATAAGACGATGCCTCTTCAAACGAAATGAAATGTATTTCAATAGATACACTGCTAGGCTTCAGGATAAATTTAATTCTATATATACGAATTTTTCTAATTTTATATCATAGTCTTCCAGGGGAAAATAGTTGTCACGATATGATTGTCAAAACCCAACCCGTAGAGGTGGCTTCTCTTACCCTTTTTCTACAATCACCAAGTGGACTTGCCAATTGACTTAACGCTTAACTTACAAAGATTACCTGATTTAAAGTTTTTAAAATAGCTAATGATCAGCTTCCTGAAAATAGTACTTCCATTTCGCCTGTATTTTTCCCATATTTGCCTCTAACAACTGTCAAACTCTCCTTTCCTGTGGTTATTTTAGGCTATTTTAATCTTATTTTTTTCAAGACACTTTAAAAACTACTTCCTTTAAATCTTAACCTGGGATCTTCTTCCAGACAAGTCAAATGCATCTTTTTTTAAAATGAGAACTTCGTCATCTTAGAGCGCTCACGCTGAATTTAGGACTGTAAATGGAGTTCTCCCCATAGTTATATGAGTAGGCCCGATGCCAGTATCAAAGATTCTTTACATTAACTCTTTAAATAATTTTAAGTAACCAAGTTTGACTAAGATCTTATTCAAGGCATAGTTTAAAATATTTTTTGTATACAAGTAGAGTTTTGAGATTTACATACATCTTTTTTAACTGCAACGTTCAAGGCAACCCAAGGATTGTAAGAATGTAGGCGTGATTAAACCTAAAAATAACGCCGTCTAACAACCAACGCACATAAGTACACTTTAAATGAAGACATTCCGATTGTCCTCTTGTGCCTGCAACATATTCAGCCACAGAATCAAGAAACTGAGCTTATGCCCACTGAAAATATGTGAAAACAAAACTAGCTTTATTGATTAAATTCAATTGCGAAAGTATTCACTTGTAATATGTAAATATTATGCTTTTGAATTCATGCTCCTGCTTTCTATTCCAATGGGTCTTAGGTATTCTGTCTTAAGAGCGGATTTGTTTGCTTTAGGATCCACAAGTCAGCGCTTCGGGTCCTATCAGAGAAGACATGGTAGAATAAACATTAATGCTAATAGCAACCCACTTTTCAATTCAGCTGAGATGTCTTAGAGTCCAGTTGTATATTAAAACATGAAAAAAGGAGTAACTAATAGACAAGAAGATCCTTTACAATTTATACAAAATACAAATTTTAATCACTCATACATCGATGAATAAATGCATTTAATTCGCCTTTTCCGTATATATCTTCTTGCCCAATCTGTTTAGAATTCTCTAATTGTTCTGACTTCATCATAAGACAGTAGGAGGACTATATGAAGAAAAGCTGAGTTTCGACGAATCCCCTAATGATTTACTGTGCTACGAATTTTCATTTCGAAGTGAAAGTCGGTTGCAGGAAGTTAGGGATTGGTCGCATTGGGAAACGAAGAAGGATTGCATGGAAGCGAGGGCTGTTGAATTGTGTGTAGACGGTGAGCCTGAGAAAAAGCTGGCAGTTGTAAGTGCCTTTTGTCTGAGAATCTGGACTATGCCGTTTACACGATCAAACGAGTAATTTTGCACTAACAAAAAGGAGGATGCTTTAAAGCTTATTCGACTGATTTGCATACGGTTAACATCTAGTAGATAGATTTAACCTATAGCTTGCAATCAGGCCCACCTGGATTGTCCTCGAATGATGACTGTTGGGCAATCTTTCATTATTTCCCGTTAAGACAAATTAACGAATTCCTTAAACCAACTTCTTCTAGATAAAATGTCATGTCACAATTTGGAAGAAGAATCATGATAGAAGGCAAGGCAGGATGAAAATAGAATGCTTCCTAATTTTGGAGTTCCAAATGATGAAATGACTTTCTTTAGTCTATTTCGTTTTCCATCATTCATAATTATAACTCTTAGTCCCGAAAAGCAAAATGTCCTTTTCGCAAGAATGTAGCTCAAAAGCGCCACACAATCAAAGTAGAGAAGTAGTCAAATGAGCACCTTTCCACGTTTATCGCATATTCCGTTGACCGGTAACATCGCCATATCTCCAGATTGGCTTGATTGCAGCCTATAGGTTAAATCTATCTACCGGATGCAATCCAGTCAATTAAGCTTTAACGAATCCTTCTTTCTGCTGATGCAAAAGTACTCGTTTATCGTGTAACCGACATAGTCCGGATTCTCAGACAAAAATAACTTGCAACTGCTTGCTTAGTTCCCAGTTCACCGTATACACACAATTCAAGTCTTCACTTCCATGTAATCCGTCTTCGTTTCCCAATGGGACTAAGCCCCAACTACCTGCAACCGACTTTCGTTTCGAAATGAAAAGTCGTGTCACAATAAGAGGACTAACTGTTCGGTTGGATTGTATGCCTTAACCTCCTCTTTATGCTTATCCTAATTTTTTACTGAATCATGCGAGAAAGGAGGAGCACTGTCCCAGTCAAATCACCCGTTTTCTTGAGGCGGAACTCATGCCGTCAGAGGGTCGGCTGAACGGCTGCATAAGAGCGGAAACAGTGGAGGACAGAAGTGGACATAAAAGAAAGGAGGGTCTAGCGCTTGATATCGCCCATGACTGCAACTTCCGTCATTTTACCAAGCCGATCGAGTGTCATCAATGGCGAAACGGAGTTGCCAAGGCTCCGAGGCGTCGGCAACAGGCTAAAATGGAGCTCGAGGCTGAACAGACTGAGGACACTGGCCATCTGGCAAAAATATACGCCAAACAGACAGCCCGAAAGAAGATGCTCCACCGTAGTGACAGACGGAAGCGTCCTGTCAGACACAAGCGAGTCTCATTCGAGCCTGGCCACAGGCTGTCACATTCTGGTATCCAAGACGCTTTAAGCCGATTACATCGACTGCTGCGGACGACGGAGATCTGCAAGCATCGTACTCATTGGATAGGCTTACCAGGTTGAAAATATCAATTTTTATTGCCTTTGTCAGACACGAACAAGTTCAGATTCTATACTCAGACTTGAGTAGGTGTCATACTTTTCTATATCGAGTCCTCATCAAAAGAGGGTCTAGTCCTTTCATGAATCTCTATCAGCCACGAGCAAAAAGGTTAACTGTGATCGTATTTACGTTTACTGCTATGGCCTATTCACACGACCATTGTGGCTGGACTTAAACGTACAATTTTAACCTAGGCGGAAAGCAGTGTCTGATAGACCTCATCTTTCATCCCTCGCCCTCGTTTCGGCCTTAAAAACATCGAATTGAGAGACAGGCTCCATTAGATACTTACAAAAGTGTTGACTTCAGCAGAATATGCTTTCTGTATGATTTACATTTGAGCCTTGTCATCATAAAGTATTAATTAACCTCACTCGATGGCACCTCACACGTTGGATATTAATGCCACCAATGCTGTATGTAGCTTGAAATAATTCGGCGGTAGTCAAAGAAGAAGCGGCTTGCTATATTTAGAATTGGCCCGACTTCGTTTACTCAATTTCTTCGGGTAGCAGGGTAAACCTCGAAAAACGCACATCGTTCTGCGTCTTCTGCCTTAAGAGTCACGACAATTGCTAGCATCGTACTGTTGACTCGATACCTGCCCAGACGTTTTTCCTTCTTTGCTGGTATCGCCAGTGAGCCTTGCCACTTTTGTCACCGGGCCGAACCTCATCTTGTCTCTTTTAGAATAAATGCCAAAATGTATGTAATATTCCAAGTGAATGGTAAGATACTGGAAATTATCATTACTACTAGGGCAGAGGGCGTAGTATGTATTTCTTTATTTGAGCTTTCAAGGGCAACAAAATCAAGTTGCGAAAATGACGTAAGGCCATTCCTATCTAGCGAAAGGTGACGGCGACTAAAATAAAATCCACGCCCTCTTGGTTTTCATGTCTATGACTTCTAAGTTGAGAATGAGGAAAAAAGGACTTGGGATGGAAATACCTCGAGCAACTGTCATTGCGTGGAAATGATTCGAATATTCTTCTAACGGCAGGCTCCATATCGTTGTTGCATCTTCTGTACATCATATTTTAGACAGAATGTGCATCCAGTTGCAAATATCTGCGCCCCAATGAGCTTCGCTAAGCCTATAAATGCCATTCCGGGCTTCATTTCAATAAAACTTTCAAATAGCCGCACGATTAATAGTCTTATACTAAGATAATACATGAATATGTGAGCGAATAACGAACATTCGAACAGGCTTTTAGAATTTTTAGTTGCGAGGCCTTAGTCGATGTAGCTCAGGGCAACTAAAGGAAAGTAAAGAGGTCGTTTGACCTTGTTTTCGCAACATGGTCATAATGGTAGGAAGACTTAGAGCAACGCACCTAGTCCGGAGTTCATTGTCTGCATAATCATTTCCAAAGTTGAACCGTGGACGTGGTACATTCCTAAACGTTTCGCCGGCATCGTCAATGAATATCGA